TGCGACACCCAGCCATATCACTCAGTGTCCCTAACCATCGGGTACGACCATCCCGAGGTCCCCAGCCAGGGAGCCTAACGAGGCCTATGTGACACAGTCTCCTGGTTAGGGTTTTCATACCCTCGTGCCAGGTCTTAGTTTGACCACTCCTCATCTTCGTCTAACCGCTCCTGTCTCAGAAAACATCGATTGTCGTGGCAACCTGTCTGGTGACATGGGTAACACATGCCTCAAACAACGTAATCTATGAAGGTCGATCACTTGCTCCAGTGGACGACGGCGACTGCCTAAAACTATACACCTAACCTCAGCATTGCTCATCCGGCTGCCCCACCAGACTCTTGCAATGCGACGTAGACAGCGGTGTTTGAACACCGACAATCTATTTTTATCCTGTTCCCGCAGTGAACAAGTCTCTGCACCGCAGAGCAGGACTGGCCGAACTGCTGCAACAAATACTCAACCCCTCACACAGCCGAATGTTGCCACGGCGCCACAAATTTCTCGAGTTGGCAAATGCTAACCGAGCCTTTTGCATGCTGGCCGATACTTCATCTGTGATGCGTCCACCAGGAGAGATATAGCTGCCCAGATAGCAAAAATTGTCTACTTCCCCATTCAGGGTGAGATTGGGTGATGGACCAGCCCAATCTTCGAGTGCAAAACGCATATCAAACATGGCTAAACTGGCATTCAAGCTGTCCAGAAAAGCTTGCAACTTACCTGGATGTTCACTTAGTAGCACAATGTCGTCTGTATGCTCTGGGAGTAAATCAATGCCACTATTCTCGCACGAAGATAGGGCTGTTTCAAGAGCTGAAACTATCACAAAATTAAATATAGAGACAGCAACCCCGCCGAACACCACTTTCCTTGGTGAATTCAAGTGAAGAAGTGCCGTAAGCTCGAACTCAGCTCCGGTTATGAGTATAAAGCGATCGTAATATTGAAATAAATTTCTCGGGCACACCCTTCAGAGAAAGGCAGCACATGAGTTTAGAGCGGTCAAGGAAGATAGAGATGATGGATCTACGAAAGGAGTGTCTATGTTCTAGAATTTGACGAAGGTGGCGAACTATCAATAACAAACAGACAGTCTGTAGAAACAGGGACTCACGGATAGTTTGCCAAAGTACAGAGGGTAATATACACATGGTGATAAACGAGTTCATTCGCACTGGGGTCACACGCTCCGCGGTAGGCCAAATCTGGTCGTGAATGTCGACGACCGCGAGTTTGAAATGAGCTCGAGTCACCGGATGTGGAGGTTTCTGTCGCTCCGGGATGTGACTCGGTGCTGACACTGCTCAAACCAGCGGAATCCATTAAGCGCACATCGCTGCCCGAAGGTCGCAATACGGTTGTTGTGGGTTCTGCTGATCCTGAACGACGTTGATAACGCGAATGTGATGCCCCGGTGAACAAGCCGGTGTCAGAAGAGGATTCTGTGGGAGGGCGAGTTGCGGCTAGTTCCTGTTCGAGTAAGATGCTCGAAAACGACTCCGGAGGACATAAATTGTACTTTTGAGTAAGCTCAGTTGGATCGATCTGGAAATTTTGTGGGACGTGTGGCTGATCGGATTTGGCTGCGACAAACAGACACGGTACCCGTGTTCCACGGTAGTAGTTCTGGAAACGAAGATACAAATGGATGACGCATGAGACGAGTGGTTGTAGCAGGGGGGGGGTGCACCGGTAGGACTGAATCGCCCATGTAACATTAGAGTCGTTGCATTTTAACGGAAAAGGTTGATAATACAAATATCAAATTAAATCACGACGTGACATGCATGAATAAAGCACTGATTAAATGCACCTCAAGTTCAGGTGGAGTAGAAATGCATCTATCTCTGGAAGTAATTGAGAAGATACAGAAGAAACACAATAAGTGCAACCGCGTACAGGAAGATATATTTGCTCAAAGGATAAAGAATGATAGGATTTACTGTTTCTCTGTGCTTGCGTGATAAGAATTCGAAAACAGATGGAAATGGTTGAAATGTGGGGGAACCGAGGTTGTTTGAAGCTTATTTGTTGCACACGTTTAGTTTAGACAGGAAAAACCGTTTGACGACAAAATGGAGAATCATCTCTTAATTCATGATTACTTAGGAGTAGTTGCGTGCTGAAAACATCGGCCACAGTAAAGGATCCCTAAGCAGTTATCCAGCCAATCTAACACTGTGGACGAACCACAGTCGCGCTTGACTTCCATTTGACCTCATCAGTTATCAAACTAGGGTTCGAATGGCGGATAATTAGCACACGCTATCAAACAGCTACCAATGTTATGAGGTCCTACTCACATCTGTGAGTAGTATGGTTGGGTTGTGCAAAGGAATATGATTGGCGGTTTCTCACAACGGTCGAAAATGAACAAGACCACTTAGAGCGAATTACTGTGTTGAAAAATGATAACTACGGACTGTTCCATTAATTATTCTGTGTGCAGTTGGGAATTTTGATGACATGTTCCAAGGAAGACGTCTTATGATATTGACAAAGTAATGAAAATCGGTTCTCGTATCTCGGGAGAACTGAATTCCACTCCATCTGTTCACCGGGTTTGGCAATTGGTTTGCAAACGTTTCATCACCAACCGAGATGACATCCTCAGTGCTTATGACGATGTCACCTCGTCTGGTGGTGAAACGTTTGCAAACAGATTTCCAAGCTCCGTAAACAGGCGCAATGTAACGTCTCTAGATATGCACGCCAATTTATGCATTCCCTTAACTGGGTTTAGTAATGCTCATCAAACCAACATTGGTCTTTTAGAAGCATAAACACTGGTAGAAGTGGATTTCATAGAAAATTTCAAACAATCGGCAGTGATTTGCAATCCGAACTAGCCGGTTGATTTCAAAACATTGAATAATCAGAGGTATAAGGGGAAAGGTTGTCAAGGGAATTCGGATTTCTCAAAGTATATACCTACATCTTATTACAGCCAGTATACGGTGGTCCGGGCTAAAATAACCTCTGGAATTCGCTGCAGAGACCCAAATAAGACCATAGCAACTGACCATAGAGATGACTGATGTTACATTCGATAACAGATCTTGCAGCGTCATTTGGTAATGGCTAGTGTGAATTTCTAAAATGTACGACATTCCTGTAGATCTCCATCTCATCACGAGATGGGAACTTCCGCAAACTAACGGGATTTCAGTAAAAACACTAGGCAACCAAAGTGTGTGTGTGTGTGTGAGAGAGAGAGAATACATGCCAATCACTCACCAGGAACAGATTGGCCACATAACGGAAGGACTCGGCATCGGACACATCATAAACCAGACAAGCAACGTCAGCGGACAATGCTTCACCGGCAGTCATTTGTTCTCCCGCGGCCGCGCCAATCTCATGCATGATTAATGTCCGTGAATGACCGTACACGGGAATACCACAAGCCACAGTCCAGCCGGATGTCCGACCTGCAATTCCTCCAATACCCAAACCGCCCGATCCACGTAAATGCCGCCCAATCAAACCTTGAAGGAGACAGGTCTTCAACGGAAACGAAATAAAGAACCGGTGCGGCGGAAAATGCGCGACTGATGCAAGACGATACCAAAACAATGAGCTCAGAGAGCACAATGAGAATGACAGGTATTGCAAAACCGACAGAAAATCATGAGGACGTTTAAATTGAGCAAGATAAAATAGCTACACGATCACGTTAATTGAAGTCTGCTGAAAGTACACGATTAGGGTCCACTAAGGTAAACCGAAACAAGTCGATCGAAATCACTCAAATACAGGACACGTTTCAAAGCCAATCTGAAAAGCCGAAAATGAATTAGTAACCATAGTGAGGTCCGAGAAACTAGGTACATTCTACTGAAAAAAACTCAAGGGAGAAACAATTCATCCAGTATTGCTCAGAAGTCACTAACCAAGATACTATTCGGATAATAAGAGACTCACCTAAGGGAGCTGGCTAAAAACCCCGATTCCAAACCAACCATGAGGAGGCGTACGAACCACATACAAAGTGAGGGTTTTCGCAGTGGTCACTGGCTCAAGGTGTATTAGGCACCTTGGGTGTATGATCCAATGAACTGGACACCTGCCCCCAATCGATAGCCGTTTTCATACACCACCCTACTGCCCTGCGGGTCAGGCTTTAGTTAGCAGAAGGCTACGGTTAGGAACTCCTGCCTTAGCCTGGGCAACCTAGCAGTGTCGCGCCCTGGAGCAAATCGTGGGCCCTTTTGTTTTCATAAAGATTATTGTACCCTGATTTGTTGGCACGCAGTCTGAACTAAGAGATGTGTGAAAAAAGTTAGGAAAGCGACAGACATTTCTACTGTATACTACTGAAGCATAAAAATTTCGATCGCTTTCTTCCACGTTCGCTGGAAACGGAAACTGGAGAATAGTGACCTCAGTGGATCGATAATGTCAAGTTGATAGGAACGAATTGCTTACAGAAAATTTGGGTTACATTGTAACACGCTGAACCAGACACAAAACGATGGTACAAACCAGAGTTGCATGCCGTACACATCAGTTCAATTTTGGTGAAAAATGTGCGAAGGAGGAGCGGCTCTTCATAACGGCAATAATGACAGTTCCCACTTACATTCACCTCCACCCGATCTCTGCCTTGTTTCTCTCCTGTACACGCACTAACGACAGTGTCAAAAACGTTCAGCATTGCTTTCACTTTTCCTGGTCGTCGTCGTTGTTGTTGTTTTTCCACTCCTAATTGTACAACGACAATTAAGGAAAACACAAGACCGAAATCCACACCGCCCCCCCCCCCGCTGGTCTACGCCGAAACCCATTACGTGAAACATCTCAAAAGACCGTTTTATACGAACTTCAATTATCCGAGCTTTGTACGTGATGGCAGTGCACAGATGGATATATACGTACACCGATTGCTCAAGACCTTTGTGCAGTGTCACGTGTACAGGGCGTGTCGTACAGTTCGCTATTTGGTACACTGCAAGCAGTGGACAGGTGAAGAACTATCGAATCTTTACCGGCCGTTTTGCGTTCAAACGACGACAGTTTAGCACTCGTCCTGGAGTAATTCTGAACCGGGAATAGTACATTCTTGTTCCTTGAATAGTGAAGTTACAGAACCATTCCTTTACAGAGAGTAAAATGTACATTGCAGCCCTCTGTTTACCCCAAAAGACGGAAGGTTACCTGAGATGTGGTGAAACAAACCTGTTATGAATGAAGGTTCGCTGAGTACCATTCATGAAACCCCAGTTGTCTCGTTGTGTTTTGAGAGTTGTGGACACGTCTGTAGGCGATCAGATGGGTGTGTGCATCCACCTTTCTGGTGGGGTGGGGTATATTATTGCATAACAAAGACAATCTATTCGGACAAACTCTCCCGAAAGAGTAGAGGCGTGAACGATTCCAATGATTCTGCGTTGAGAATGTAGGTTAGATGGGAACGACCCCAACGAATCTCATATGAAGGCCAGCTGACAATGAATCTATAAAAAGAAACGGAACTGGACGAAAGTTCTCTGGAAACAAGCGACGTAACGGTTCATGTCGCTCATCAGGTCGAGTTTGCTGAAGTTAAAAATTCTTGTCCGGGAATTCCACAGAGATCTTATGAAAATACCTACCACAGCGATCCCCAGAGTTCAGTAGTGTATAACATTATGGATAAGTTAAGGAAAAAGGGCTTCCCTTAGGTGAGCAACGGTCTAGATTCAATTTGTGTTTGGAAACCATCATGAGTTGAATCAATTCGAAACACCAGACTCACTTTGCCAACTTTTCGCTCTCCGTACACACGACAATAGAACACTGTGCGCTGTGTAGACCGACGAATGGCATCCAGGCGTTTCTCAGTCGTGATAACCAAACCACGAAGCAAAGCCTCCCGAGCGCTTCGACTCATCGGCCCAGCTGCCAGTCCGGAATCGGATCGACTCAGATGCGTAGCACCGCTCGCGCTACTGCGATCTCGTTGCAGGTGATACGCGATCGGAGTGGAAGAAGCAGAAGTGGATACGTTGCTAGATCCGGTCGCGTTTGAACCGGGGATACCGTTGTGAGATTCTGAATGTCGTGGAACTACTGTGGACCAGAATGAACCGGCCGCGAAATATGTGAATCCAAGATATGCGAAATATTCCAATACCTTGGTTGGTTCGAGATAAGCGGTGAAACTGAGAGAATGAAAATGGATTTGAAAAAACAGAGAAATGAAACTATGCACAGTGCTTTGGGAAAGAGTAATAGAAAAGTTAAATTATTTACACTACAACATGTGAAACGGACGGGATAATTCCAATGAAAGAGTAAAGGGTAATGACCGTTCGGTCCAATTTCAGATCGGAGATGAACCTCGTTCATGGTGGCGGTGGTCCAGCGATGAAGGTCACCAGATAACTGCTCCGGAGGACTTGTGTTCGAATCCTGCGATCACCGACTTGCTCCGAATTTATGTGTCTGACAGTTCTTCGATTGGCTCCTTCCTCTAAATAAAATTTGTATAATTATATCTTCAACAACATGAATTATTATACATACATCATCTTCAAATGGAGTGGGTTACATAAGACAAATACCACCGAAAACGCTTCATGAAAGGAACATTGCTTGCCGAAATTAAATATGCATATTGACTTTCCACTCGCATAAACGAATAATGAACCCGTATAGGAAATTATACGCACAGGATCAAATGCTCGCAACCACCTCGGAAAGATGGTTTGTGTTAAATCGAGGACAGATAATGTGCAACAGTCCGTTCCGACCTTAGGTGTCCAGGGTTTAAACCTCAGTTCAATTGATGGATTCGTGCAATCAATTAGACCGAAAGATTCGAAACTGCTGTACGCGGCTCTACCGATTTAAATTTCGTTTTTGTTTTGCTCGACGGCCAACTAAATTTATCAAGTGATATTCAATTAACTAGAAGATTAACCGCTCACTGTAAGGGAAAGGTGTTGGTTGAACTCAGCTTAGTTAAGCTTGGGAAATTCGGGTTGACTAGTCCATCACAAACAAGTGCCCAGATTTGCAAAAACCAAGGAGCAAGGAGTAATCAATTACGGTCGAAAAGTAATAAGTCATGTGAGTTTGTTATGAACAAAATGGAAAACACAGATGGGTATCGGATATAGCAGAAAAACGATGCAACATATTGCCCTGTGGTACAGGTACACTCACGCCCAGTAAGCCATAAATCCTTGTCGTGTTAACCAACCGGATGAGTTGGTGGCAACCGAGTCGGTCAACTCTGAAATGCTAGGCAGTTGGTCTTCTGGACAAGTGGCCAGAAGTTCGGTCAATTCTGCCGGGGACAAACATCCATCGCGATCCTTTCGGGGAATATAACAGAAACAAAACAATCACTGGGATTGAATGTTACCAAAAAATGGGACGATGTGTGACGGGACGTAACCAGCTGATGAGGAAAGTGCGACATCACGAACTACCCCCAGAGTTTTTGAATTGATAACAAAAATTACTAAGGATTCAATCGACTTTCGAAGACCAGAAAGGTAGGACAGGGTTGTGAAATCCTTGGTTAATCGCAATAGCGCGGATTCAGCCTCAGTATAATTATATCCAGGTCCACGAAAACCTGATGTACTAGGTTGTAGAGAAGCGGTTTGGGCGGCTTGCTCCGGGTAACGATTAGAGATTCAAAATCCGCTACCGTTGATCAGCTTTGGTGACAGGCAATCGAGCTGATTACCACGCTTATTCCACTTGAGCCAAACATAGCTTCCAGCTCGAAATTCCAAGTCTTTAGATAGCGGGTTCCGGTTGTAAATGGAAATATCAAACATTATGTTTTCATGATTAAAGAGTTTGACCTATTCACAGTTCTTCACACCGGGGGTAGATATGCCCTTCTGGTGATTCCTAACCTGTAAATGAAACAACTGCAGGGTATTGTTACCACGCTGACACACCGTGGTAAATGGTGAGTAATCATTCGAAGCGCACTCATTCACTTGCACATGACATCGGCAATTAAACTAGTTCCCACCAGTCAAAACTAGACACTGTTTTCTTCCCTTTTTAAATGATCCCTACTATTTTCTTGTCAATCGCCAAAGCATTCTCAAATCAGATTATGTTAAATACCCGCATCCGTAACCTTTCCTGATCCACTCAAGTTGAAAACGTTTATTCGAAAGTTCGAAGACCGTCTTTTTGTACATACAGACCCAGAAACCGAGCCGTTCCTTAAAAGTTGACTTTTAAATATGTGATCACTTGTATTCTTCCACACTGGTTATACAGCACCCCTATATTTATTCCTGATTGAGAATAAACAAGGTCTCACTAGGCACCTCAAACTACTGTCTTGATATAGTGGCGTGACAACACGTTTTAGGTGAGTTTTTGTTTTAAAGCTTTTCGATGTGAACGATGGATTTATTCACATGATAATTTCCGATGAATAGCAGAGTCGAAACCACGAATCGCTGAAGGGGCTCCTCGCACGTACATCCATACAAGCAAACAGCACTGCTGAAAACCTTTCCAAGTGGTTACCCCGCCTCCAAAATCCTCAGCATGTTCGGGGGTGGGCGTCTAGGGTTACGGCTGATCAACCTGCCCTTGCACCTCACAAAATGCTCTCATACGACCAAGAGTCTCAAACAGCCTCTGCTGACGAAGCCCTACTCACTGTCCTCTCGTGTCCGAGATGTTTTCCCATCAAAGTGAGAGGACGAAAAGCCAATATCCGAGNGGTGGACCACTGGCAGTTCACCTTGGGAAGATGGCTAAAAACCCCGATTTCAAACCAACCATGAGGAGGCGTACGAATCACACACACCTTTTCGGTTGTGGTAGTGGCCACCGACTCGGTTGGGCGTCAAGGTGTGTTGGGCGCCTTGGACGTTTGACCCCATCCGAAGGGCGTATGATCCGATGAACTGAGCACCGACCCCCAATCGATAGCAGTTTTCACACACCGCACCTGCTGCCTTGCTGGTCAGGCTTTGGCTAGCCAAAGACTCCGGTAGTGGATTCCTCAAATAAATTCATCTACCTTGGCCTGGGCAACCTGACAGTATCCAGTCCACATGCAGATCATGGAGCGTTCTTCGTTTTTTTATAAAGATTCTTGGACCATGATTTGTTTGGCACACATCCAGGATTCAGACGTGAGAATATATATATATATATATATATATGTGTGTGTGTGTGTGTTTACCACTCTTATTAAATCTACATATGTGTACACACACTGTGCAAATACGTAAACTGCCAAGCAGTCATCCTTTGAGTGCATAACGTGTTCCCGAACCTGGTTTGAATTACGACTTGAACGGAACAACCGCTAAGCTTGGACTGGATAGCAAACGTCACTGGAAACGGGTAAATGAACAAAAAGGTGAGGTTCAACCAAATGAGGCCTAAAAAGACGAATGCAGTATGTGCGTTTGACATTTGGCCACGGACTGACTAGATTTATTGATCAAGCCCTTTGCGTTCAGAGCAAGAAACAACTGTATATATTCACCTTCAAATCACTGACACCTCAGTGAAGACTTCTGTAACACACGTGAAAACGATCAGAATCGCTGAAATATAGCATAACTGCCCGAGCCTGACTATGCCCATGAAATGACCTAGTACCAAATACCAACACGACTTACGTGATTCGCCAGACTTATCGGTTTGTACAAAGTTTCTGCGTGTATGAAACAGGCACTCCAGCTTATTCTGAAGCGGCTTGTGAGAACAGGGGATAGCTATTCAGCGTTAATTCAGGACTAGGATGACGATTCAGATGAGAACCACATCTTCTTCCCGGCCCTGTTTACTATCAGACACATAACATTACTAGTTGAGGAAGAATGAGGAAGAGCATAAAACTATGACGGCAAACTGACAAGTGGCAAAAGGAAAGCGACTGAAATACACACACGTTATTGCTGGATCAGGAACTCACCAGATCATATTTATTAAACAGGGTGTGCAGAAATTGAGTACCCAATGTTGAAATCTCGGTACTGCAACCGGTCGGGACGGAAAATCTGCAAAGGAGAAAGAAAAATGTTATGTGGAGATAAATGAGTGGATTGCGTTTTTTGTTAACACTTATGAGCAGCAGATTGATCAGATAGTACTAAGCTATCTTATGCGGTATGAGGCTTCACGTATAGAAAAAAAACAAAGCAGGGTTAAACGCACGACAAACGCGGACTTTGCGTGAGGAGATAAGGAGTTCCAATCTTGAAAAAGACTGTGGGCAGGACTGAGTTTCCCTAAGGAAGCCATTTGTGATATGTGCCTCTTAAAGCAACTAGTGAGAAAGCTTTACTCACTGACTTTTTGCGGCAGTGTTAAATTATCCACAAGGCGGTTGGAAGAACAGCAAAATTCCGATCCGAAACCTTCCAAGTAGAGGCACACAAATCAGCTGCAAGAAATAAAAGTACCAAAGGCTACCGGCTTGATCGAGTAGCTTGGACACTCCGGAAGTGCGCACTACTCCCGAACAGCGTATTATCCAACTTTTCGGACATAGTTCCAAATAGCAAGCGCTTTTCACAAACCGATCAACTAGCCAGGATTAAGCTAAACTCCCTGGAAAACCTGAAATTATTGCATCCACGAACGGATTACAGATTACTATTTATTCTGAATAGAGAAATTGATGCACTGGGAATAAACCTGCGAAACTCTACCAACGGCGAAACCCGAGTCAACGGGGTCCACCTGTAAATGTTCGGTTGGAAGGACTGCTGATGATAGAGACGATGTTTGAAGGACGAGTAAACAAAACGAAACGGGAAAAAGGACGAACTGATTCATTGGGAGAACTACATTTCCTCTCACGATAAATTTCCGGATCGACTACGACCATGAGTGCAATCGCAATTGCTTAACCTGGAATGTGCTTGGCGCTTACATCAAGCTGCTCAGTTTGTGCGGGAACGAGTGTATGTTGCGGCAGTTTTCCAAGCGCGTCTAACAGTTCAATCAGTTCAGTTTTTACAACCATAACCATGCACTTGTGTGCGCCAGTTTTGGTTGCTGTCTTTCGGTGCCCCATTTGGATAAAAGAGTAGAATGGAGATTGGAATGTTGAAAGCAAATTCAAGCAAAAGATGGAGAATTCATATTGAATGGTGTTAGAGGAATTATGAGTGGATGCACGAGCGCCACTGTTTGCGACACCCAGCCATATCACTCAGTGTCCCTAACCATCGGGTACGACCATCCCGAGGTCCCCAGCCAGGGAGCCTAACGAGGCCTATGTGACACAGTCTCCTGGTTAGGGTTTTCATACCCTCGTGCCAGGTCTTAGTTTGACCACTCCTCATCTTCGTCTAACCGCTCCTGTCTCAGAAAACATCGATTGTCGTGGCAACCTGTCTGGTGACATGGGTAACACATGCCTCAAACAACGTAATCTATGAAGGTCGATCACTTGCTCCAGTGGACGACGGCGACTGCCTAAAACTATACACCTAACCTCAGCATTGCTCATCCGGCTGCCCCACCAGACTCGTGCAATGCGACGAAGACCGAGATTTTGAGCGATCTGGAGTAAAGTAGTAAACTAAATTAGATGGAACTGTACAATTATTTGCTATTAAATATGAAACCGAGAACAGCCTGGCAACCAAATATGAGACCGGATGAAAGATACGGGTAGAAATGCTGGCTACTAAAAAACTGATAAAACAACCGACTGTATGGGTGGATCCAAAGTTCACGAAGATAGAAGACGTACCTTGGATAAAGGAAGTCACTAGATAGTCGAATTTGATTATCGTAGCCAAACTGACGTAGCACGGTCCAGGTGGTTTCGTGTCGTCCTTTTTGCACGAAAATCAGATGAAGGAATAGGAATCCTGTGGCATGGACAGTAGATGAGGAAACAATGGGACCAATAATCAGGGAACGTGGGGGAAATGGATGAGAGGCATGCGAAACGCGGATGAAGAGAAATAATGGAATCGTCGAATCTGTCATTTCTTTCCAGATGTGAGAGTCAATGAAGATTATTGGAAGACAAGGTGCACCAAGAAGTGAGATCGTATGTCCTCCGGGGATTTAGTGAAGATAAGAAGTGATCACTCAGTGAAAAACTCAAGGTATGTAATGACAAAACACGTGATGAAGTGATGCAACCTAGTTCCGAGGGATTGTTCAAGTAATATTAGCGACACGATTTGACAGAGGGGAGTTTGAACGAACTAGAACAAAAGTTGTCATCCCCAGTTTTGTAAGTTTTGTGAAAGAGGGAAACAGAAAAGAAATATAATGAATAGTACTCGTACACCAGAGAACAAATAACTGGACTCAAAATAAACTCATTGGTGTGCAACGAACATTGGCCAATGGGATATGAATTCTCAATGACGTAACGTTGAGGGCTCAACACAACATTTTAAAGTATTAGTTTCACTTTAAACAACCAATAACCGTGCACTTCCGTGCGCCGGTTATCCCAGCTGTCTTTTGGCAGACCATTCGGATGACGAATAGGAGAAAACAGGAAAGTAGAAAGTACACTGAACATAAACGAAGAGGTTCATCGCTCAAAGTTTCCCCAAATATTTAAATGATACAAGAACGCTACTGTTTGCGACACCCAGCCATATCACTCAGTGTCCCTAACCATCGGGTACGACCATCCC